ACGCTTCATCCTTGATAAAGTTGGCATCGTATCAGAGCCTTCTGATTGGCGCATTCGGAAACAATAAAGCATGTGCCTGGGTGTTACCACCTCGACCTGCGACGAAACGTTTGCAATCGGACTGTGAATCGAAGTGAACAGAAAGTCGTGAAGTCTCACAATTCAAGTGGTATTCTTGGCATCTTAGTGATTTTTCGGGCGTCCTTTTTGAAGATACTGTAGCATGAGGGCATGTGTTCTTCTCCCTTCCCTTCCCACAGTTTCTAAACAGACCAGATGGACGAATAATCATCAAGTCACCTTCGTGTTCCAGCTGGGACGTTTCCCGTGAGAGCGTGATCGCGGTCAGGTGAGTTCCGTGAAAAAATGTATGCGTAAAGCCGTACCTGGTCTGTGCTAGAGTAACCCCAGGGGTTGAATAACAGATTGCAGCGGACACGTTGAGTCTTCTGCCTCTAGCCTCAAAATGGTGGCCGAAATCCGCCTAAGGATTCGGCAGGTACCCACTGCTGACTGTTTTTAACCAGAACGAGCAGCTGCACGGTGGTTCCACGCTATTCGGCACACATAAGCTTCTTTCCTATTTGGGAATACTTGCTTGCAAGCAGCCACTGGAAGTGACAAGTAAAAGGGCTGGATATACCTTCTGAAATTCACAAGAGGAGTTATTGATATCGTCGATTATGGCGTCGTTGTACTAGTAAAATAGTACACTAGTGGAAAAGTTCATGTTGATTGTTCATGAATTTAAGATGTCTCCGAGAAGTGTCAAAACAATTCAACATTTTTCCACGCTATTCCCATTTATAACTATCTTCTGTTCCCTTTCTCCCGTGGTGAAGAGATTTTCGATATCATCGCAAAGAACTCCAGATTGTAAAACACTTGTCAGACCCTGGGCAGGGCCTGTCGCGCCCTTGGAACTCGCGACCATTTTGTTTGGAGGTTCTGTGTGGAGAAGAAATTCCACCTGCATGACATCATCTGCAGTGATATCAACCTGATAAACAGGTCTGGTCAACTGGGGAAAGAAGCGGAAAGATACAACACATTCTGGACACCTGAAGTGCATTTCGTCTTGGCGTTTTGGCTTCAAATTACATCAAGTTGCGACCGGCAAATGCGTTTTCATACCCGACCGCACAGAATCCGCTATATTTCCTCACCTGTGGCCTTTTACTTTCTGCGCCTATACAATTTATTCTTTGTCTTTCTTAACTGTGTAAGCTCCATCTATTGCTTGGTTTTTTTTGCTTTGCAAGATCTAACTAAAAGAATCTAAATCGAAGCCTTATTTCCTCACTAGTTGGAACCATTCCATATCCTGTAATTACGCGTGGCGCACACTAATCAAATAGTGGGTCTGAAGAGGCTTGCTTCCATAGACCACCCAATCACACATAGTGCGCATTAACATGCATGGTGGATCACACCAACGCTGTAGTAATCATGGTCTGCGCACCATCACTTTACTCCCATGGACCAAAGGGTTGCTGGTGTTCAAATTATTTGTCTGTTGCAGTGGTTACCAGCCGTTTTCCTGGTTCGAATTCACAGAGGTGTTTCATTGACTTGAATTTCCTTCCCTATTAGATAAATATCTGGTAGCTTTGTAGCTTGTTATCTGGCTGATCTCGTGTCGGTCGGGTGCGCTTTATTACGTTGCACCATGGTGTGTTCGTAAACACCCTACTCCTCTGATATCACGGGTGATTTGCCCATCGCCCGCGTTTCTGAACGTGGCCCTTACTTGATGAGAATCCATAAGACAGCATTGCTGTTTTCTGTCTGTCGCTGTTGATTTGGACTTCCCTCGGTTGTCATGTATCTGGCAACGCCACGAAATGCAAGCTGAGCACAAATGTCCTTTCGTCTGATTTTTAAAAATAAATGCATCGGGTAGCCTGGAAAG